TTTTGTTTGCGGACGTCTTAGTAAGTGTTAGCGTCTCCGCACCATAGGTTAGAACCGGCAGCACACATTGATCGAACACTTTTCTCTTCAAGCAGATGGGAAGAGCTGATTGGAAAACATCTCTTAGCTTTCCATAAGCTGCCCATGTCAACCCTATTCTACGTATTAGTTCATTGGTCTGGTTATCTCTACTTAAGCGAATTTCGTGTCCCAGATATTTGTATGCTGATGTTTGTTCTATACTTGTTCCAGCTATGTTGATGTTCTCACTCAGAACAAGGTTTGTCATCACTTGTGTTTTTGAGTTATTGATCTTTAAACCCACTTGTGTAGAGGCATGGTAGAGTCTTTCGCACATTTCGATGGCATGATCTATGCGGTCTGTTATCAGGACTATATCGTCCGCGAACCTGAGGTGACTAAGCTGCTCTCCATTTATGTTTATGCCCTTTTCGTCTAGGTTTGCACGCTTACACATGTATTCCAATAATGTTGTAAACAGTTTTGGTGAAATGGTGTCGCCCTGGCGAACTCCACGATGAATGTTGAACTTGTGTGTATCTTCATGGAGTCTGACGCATGCCGTGGCATTATCATAGATATTTTTGATGACAGTGGTGTAGCGGTGATCTATTCGGCACTCTTTTAAAGCTTCTAGCATTTTCTGGTGGTTTACTGTGTCGAATGCTTTCTCATAATCCACAAATATTAGAACGAGGGGTTTATTGTACCCTATACATTTTTCGATGAGGCTTTTAATAACTTGTAGATGGTCGTTTGTGCCGAAGCCTGACCTGAATCCTGCCTGTTCGCATGATTGGTAAAAGTCCATTTTGTTCGAAAGTCTGTTTGTTATGACTTTTGTAAAAAGCTTGTATATGTGTGAGATGAGGCTGATTGGTCTATAGTTTACGAGATTTGTTAAATCTCCTTTCTTAAACATTAGAACGATCACTGCATTTTGCCATTGTGATGGTGTTGTTCCTCTTTCGAGGCATTCTGTGAAAAGTATGGAAAGCATTTGTATCAGTTTCTCGCCTCTTAATTTTATGGCTTCGGCAACGACCCCGTCGTCGCCAGGTGACTTATTATTTTTCATTTGTAGGAGAGCTTTTTTGATTTCATCAACAGTAACATCTGGTATGTCTTCCGAGCCCTGGTTTAGAACCTTTGGTATGTTGTCAGTTGGAAACATTTTCTTCTGTTTTGCTGTAGAGTTCGCTGTAAAATTGTCCGACAGTTTGTAGAATTTCCTGTTTATCTGTTATTATTTCGCCCTTTGTGGTTTTCAGTTTGTAAATATTTTTCTTTCCTATTTGCTGTTTCCTTCTGAAGACTTTTAAACTTTTGTTCTCTTCTATGACTTTTGATATCTCTCTGGTGTTGTAGTCTCTTATATCTTTTCTGATGTTCTTTGTTATTTGTTTGTTTAGTTGTCTCATTTTTGTTAGATTGGTTCTGTATTTATCTGTTAGTTGTCTTCTTTCCTCTAATAGAGTTTTCGTGCTTAGACTTAGTTTTTCTTCGTCTTTTTGATTTTATGGGCAACATTTTTCTTGTGCTTGTTTCAGAGCTTTGACTATTTTCTGGTTTAGTTGTTCGATGTTTATGTTTTCTGTTTCTTCGTTTTGTAATTTTTCTTCGACCGTACGTTCAAACAGTTTTGCATTTTCAGGTGGAACCCATCTTCTAACATTTGGTTTAGGAACAAGCTTCATTCTTTCTTTTTTAACGTTAAGCATTACTTTTGTTCTTATCATCCTATGGTTGCTGCCAGCAGAGAACTTGTTGAGTACTTCCACGTCTTGTATTATATATTTTTTATCTGTAATTATAAAGTCGATTTCGTTTTTGACGGCGCCATCAGGGCTTATCCAAGTCCATTTGTTCGTATTAGAACTATAAAGACGTAATAATATTCTGATCTCAATCCAATCGAAAATTTGTGAGACATGTTTCAAGAACGAATTACTCCACATATGAGCGACATTAAAAATATTTTTCTCTATAAAACAGTTGTGCGAGATACAGGTCATTTTGATGACTTGTATCAACCGGTCTCGATCAGTTAAAAGACCCAGCTTTGTAATCCGGGCTGCGGTGAATCTTTACTCATAAAAGTCGTTGAAATAATACAAACAATATATTATTTGACGCGCCTTAGCTAGTCAAGAACAAATATATACTTCTACTTTCATGCCTGTCTGTCAACTAAAACTCCCCGGTATTGACATATGACAAGTGAATTGTCGAATGAAAGCTTGTAACCCAAAAATAGTATTAAAAGTGAGAAATGTTACCTCAGACTTTTGGTTCCGCAGTTTCAATAGGATTTTTTTAAGCCCTTCTCTCTATTCGGATTGCCGTATATATAGTCTTCTCCTAATTCTCGCCATCCATGTCTGTTGTTTGTAAGACGTTTTTTTGAACGTGAGTTTTTCTAATCTTCTCCATGTTTATTTTAGTAAATGTCTAGGTTTGAGCTCCATATGTAAGTACAGGTAGGATACAGGAATTAAACACTTTGGTTCGCAGTCTTTGAGGTATATTGTTATTTTTAAGTACGTATGAGAGTCTTCCGAATGCTGCCCATCACATTTTTACATGTCTGCTTATTTGCGAGTTTCTTTGCTTACCTTCACTATCTACTCCATCAGCGTAGAACTTTTCAATTGAGTTTGCTATATCAGATTTATTTTTTTTTTCTAGTTGTTCATTTCATTTTTAATGGTTTCCTCTGCTAATTATGGTTTCCTCTTCTAGTTTGGGTTTAGTGCATTTGAGACGTCGGTTTTTCTCTATGACTTGTTCTCTAGATCTTCTTGATGTTTTTTAATGTCCTCTTTTATCTGTTTTCTTATTACTCGATTAAGTTCCTTAAATTCTGCAGTGTCTCTTTTGTTTTATCTCAGAAGATCTTTTCTTTGTTTCAGCATGTTTTGTAATTACACTTATTTTGGATTTTTGTTTTCTGTTAGGGGTTGCCACTTCTGAGCTCACATTTAACAGTGCTTTTATTATGACTTCATTGATTTCATTTAAGCTAAGTTTATCTAGATTTAATACTTTCGCGGGTTTTAATCTGCTTTTATATTGTTCTGTATTAGATTTTAGTTCATCTGTGTCTATATTCCAAGTTTTTCTAAATTTATTTTTATTTGTATTATGTTTTATTTCTAATTTGGCTCTAACCATTCGGTGATCGCTACTTACTGACGCCGTATTTATTACTGTTACGTCCTGTATGATATCTGTTGTGTTACACAGTATGTAATGTATTTCGTTCCGAGTTTTTCCGTCTGGGGATAACCACGTCCACTTCTTATAGAATGTGTTCATTGCATAGTATTTGTGGGCCTGTAGAAAGTTAACCAAGATTTATCCGCTCTCATTTCTGACTCCAGAACCGAATTGTCCTATATAGTTTTCGATTTTTTCAAGTCGTTGTCTGATCTTAGCATTGAAGTTTCCTATTATCATCGTATACATGCTACGGTTAGAAAGTATAGGTACTTGAATAATTTTCAGGGAGATGTTCTCGTTTACATTTAGGATAATCTTACCAATTCTCTTAGATATTTCTACGAATTGCTCTACTTTATGTGCATATTTTTTGGAAATTAGAAATCCTACACCATTTAGGCTTTGTTCTTCTCGCCCTTTGTAATATAGGACGTTATCGCACTCTAGTGTTATACACTCTCCCTTTTCTTTTTACCTCTGCTAGACCAATTATGTCCCATTTTAAGTTATTGATGTTTTCTTCTAGTTCGTAGATTTTTTAGTCTTTGCTTAAGGACCTTTACCGTTGCAATGTTCAATCGTGTGGTTTTTAGCAATTTCTTGCTTCGTCCAGATTCCATGAAGCTGTTCTTTTTTTCAAAGAAGTAGGATTTGCCATTAATGTAAGGTCTACCCACCTGGGAACCCATTCCTTTTGTTTTAGATATCGCCATATTCCTGTTAGGAGGTTTTTTAGCCATAAAACACCACGCTGGCTACACGGGTTGGTAAGTGATTTTATACAATCCCTAAAATAAAGAAATTGCGAGTTTCGCGATCCAAACCGTACCGAAGGTATTCTTCTCCGCCGTGGCTGCCGTTGTGGACTTCATCCGTGACCCTGGACAAGGGACCCTAAGCAGGTACTAGTTTCCCGGGTCAGAAAACACCTGGAATCTGCGGAGGGCAGGGATTGAATCATTGTCCCTGATATTACTATCTAAAAGAGTTCCTACCCGCTACCCTTCAACTGGATACTTTCGGTTTAATGGCAGTCTGTCCGTCCATAAACGGAACTCCTCCGCTATTAGAACAGGTAGCATGACAAATGACATATTGAAGGAAAACTTCCGATTTTAGAGTTGCAACCGGAAGTATTTTTAAAGTCTCCAAAATAGTACAAGCGATATATTATTCGACGCGCCTTGGTAAGATGAGAACAAGTATATACTTCCGGTTTTTATATCACTTCCGATTAAAAAGTTGTAACCGGAAGTGCCACATTATAGTCGCAGAAATAGTACAGGTGCTATATCAATTGACGTGTATTGGAAAGTCGAGTTTAAACATTTAGTTACAAAGTTACATGAAGAGTTCAAATATCGACTTACGGTTCTACTTCCGGTTACGTTGAATATAAACCTAGTACTTACGAAGTAAAATTGCTTTTTTGAGTATAGAAATTGTTCGCACATATTTTCTTTAAAATTATAATTCGTCTGAGAAAGATGACAGATACGGCTCTCAGAACACAGTAATTTGTTTGCAGTACTGTTTTTTTAAGAAATCTTTCATAATATTTTATTTCCACAGAGTATTTTTGATTCAATATTTGACTATTTTTTTTATAAAAAAATATAAAAAAAAATAAACAATTTTTTGTTCTGGATAAAAGGAATATCAGTTAAAAGTATTTCCATTAAGAGTGGTCGTACTGTATTCTTTTTTAGTTTTGTGAAATAAATAACCTAAAGGTTAAAATTTGTTGAACTACTTACAACAATAGCCCAGATTCTTGGATATAATGTTCCACAATCAAAAAATAATCTTTGATCTACAAGAGCTCTCTTTTTTGGATCTTTAGGATATAAATTGTCATTATTTGAGTATACTGTTGCCAGATATCCTCCAATAGCATGACTATCCCACACAGTATATTCTCCATCAACCAAAGTAGGTACAGTATGTTGAGGATTAATCTGAAATTTTCATGAAAAATATATTTGCAACATATTTCCTATAAAAGAACAGATTTGCAATATATTTGCTACAAAGCAAAAGGATCTAAAATCGACTAACATTCAAGTAAAAATAGATATTTAAAGAGGTCACAAAAACTATTGCTTTAAATTGTTATAATGAGATGTGTATTAGAAACGATGAAGTCGAGAAGTTGTATGATCAGATCCAAAACATCTTACAAAAACTTAATGAAACCGAAATTTTATATATTATAGGCTGCTTCAATACCAAAATTGGGGAAGGTCGACGAGGTCAGATTGTAGGTCATTATAGTTCGATCGAGGACAGAGATTGTATGAATTTTGTAAGGAAAACGATATGATCATTGCAAACATCATCGTCACCATCACGTAGCGCTATAACCCTGGGTGGGTCTTGGCTGACTGTACAACTTTTTTCCAATTTGTTCGGTCTTCCATCAACCTAGGGTCAAATGGAATGTTCATTTTCCGGGTATCTGTTTGGATGTTATCTCTCCATCGCATTCTGGGACGTCCGAGTGGTCTTTTGCCTGTGGGAATCTCCTCCCATACCAGTTTCACAAGTCTTTTGTTATGCAGTCTGTGCACGTGGCCTGCCCATCTTAGTCGCTGTGATTTAATTTCTTGGACAATATCGGCGTCGTTGTAGAGTGCTTTTAATTCGATATTGCTTCTGATCTTATACTGGTTTGTGGTGATGTCATGGCGAGGTCCGAAAATTTTTCTAAGTATTTTTCGTTCAAAGCGTCTGAGCTTTTCTTTGTTGGCTTTGGTCATGATCCACGTCTCGCATCCGTATGTTATTACAGGTCTGACGATGGATTTATAGATTTTGATCTTTGAACTTCTTGTGCTTATCCAGTGCTAATAGACAACGGTTTGCAGATTGGATTCTGTCTTTTATTTCTTCAGTGACATCATTGTCAGCTGTGATTACGACCCAAAGATACTTAAAACGTTGTACTCTTTGGAAATTGAAGGTGTTTATACACATATATTTCGTCTCCTCTTCATTAATGTTCAGCCCTACTTCACTTGTTGCTCCTTTCACCTTGTTGAAAGTGTCTTTCGTGGATAGGCTGGAGTCTCCAATGAGATCTATGTCATCTGCATATGCGAGTAACAGCTTGGAACCTTGAACCGATAGCAATTCTGTTTTTATTTCGGCCCACCTCATGGCTTTCTCTAATACAAGGTTAAAAAGTAGTGGAGATAACGCATCACCCTGTTTAAGTCCACTGTTGATTTCAAAGCTGCCAGACAGTTATTATTTATTTACACGTACTTTAGATATTCCACCCTCCATACAGACTTTTGGTCATCCGAATGAGTTTCTTTGGTATTGAGAACTCCGCCATGGCATTCCATACTTGGCTTCTTTCTACGCTATCATATGCCTGTCGAAAGTCTATGAAAAGATTGTGTATGGGTCTGTTATACTCCCATCCCTTTTCTAGAAGTTGTCTCAGCGTGAATAGTTTATCTATTGTTGTTCTGTTTGCCCTAAATCCGGCTTGATATTCGACTAGGACATTTTCAGCATAAGGGATTAGTCTACTAGGAATAATGTTTGAGATGGTTTTATATGCCGTGTTTAGAAGTGAGATTCCTCTATAATTCGCGCATTTTGTTTTATTTTTTTTGTGGATAGGCACTATTATGGTTTTTCTTCCATCGTGCTGGTATTCTTTCTTTTAACCATATGTGCGTTATTAGCTGGTGGATTTGGAGATGTAGTGCATCTCCCCCATATTTCAGAAGTTTTACTTACTTACTTTTACTTATACTTTTTTTATTTACGTAATAACTTTTAAGGTAATTTTGGATTTAACTAATTTATTATGATTCAGTTAAATGATCTTAATGACCTCCAATACAATAATTCAATCAACTTGCAAATCGATATCAACACGCCATTGTGTCTAAGATAATGGCGTGTTGCCACTTTTTTTCCAAACATTTTTTAGATAATGAACTGATTTTCCAAAACAGGACGTTGGTTTAGCTGACGGGTTCCAATAGAGTGACCGGCCAGATCACCGGATCATTCGCTTTAGGATTTATGGGGATACCTAAAATAAAAAATATACGTCACTCCGCCTGCAGATCTTGCGAGTTGCGACGAAGAATTTTGACAGAATCCCGATTATTGACACCGGAGATATTTCCAAATGTACGAAGAGGCTTTGAAAATAGACTGCATTATTGTATGGGGATCACAGGAGGTCATTCCGGACATTTAATTGGTTAATTTAATAAAATTTGGTATTTTTTATAACTGTATTCAACCACTAAATTAGATAAATCCAAAATTATCTTCAAAATTATTCCGTAAATAAAAAAAGTAGTGTGTCGTATAGAGAAAAAAAAAATACCTTTGTGTAAAAAACTGGGGGTTGATGCGGGGTAGTAGGGGGTTATATTTGAGGGTATGAATTTTGCATGAAAATTCGTCCCCCTTCCAATACAAATTGACCTGTTTTTTTATTTTAAAGAAACTCTTGGTTTCTGAGTTTCTGATTGGTAAAATTTTCGTTGGAACAGAATGTATATTAAGACATACGAAACCAATATTAGGTTAGGTTTTAAAGGCTGATTGCCTTTCTTAAGTGAGAAACTTGAGAAAGTCAATCAGCCGAAACAGCAGTAGTGATAAGATTTAAAATAAATTTTGTGGAAGTTTGAAAACAAAGTTTTCAGTGTTTTATTGTTACATAAAATGAATTTCCATCACGTAACGAACGAATCCATCAATATCCGTTTAAACCTGATCAGTTTTGACATGGATTTTGCCCCCTCCTATGTTACCGACGAAGGCACCTTTGGACAATCCAGTAAGCGCGGTAGTAGATAATACTTCAAATGGAGTCCGTGTAGGTGAAGAAAATAATGGACTTCAGCTTTCAACACCATCTGAAGTAATACCTCCTTCAAAGCAGCCTGAGAATGAAGATGATCTAATCTCTTTGCACGTTACACCGCCTCTCGATGTGGCTAATCTTGATATCGAATGCGAAGATGGTGTATTAATACCATCAAAAGCTAGCACTAATAGCTTAAATATGACAGTTTCAGTGACAGAGATTTTACCATTACCCAGAATTAAAGAAAAGCCTAATCGACGCAAAACAAAATCTCAAAAGTCTGAAATACTTTCCAGTAGCTCATATATAAAAGAACTTGAGGATTTGAAAAAAACTAAAGAAGTAGAACAAAAAAAAGAAGACGGAACGAATAAACAGAAAATTACTGCCTAGTTGTAGTAAATCATTGCTTAAAGTTCAAAAAGGGAATAAAGAAAATGATCCTAATGTAACGTGCCCAGGATGTAATGAATTATATTCAAATTCTGTTGAAGACTGGATCATGTGCTTTCAATGCAAGAATTTGTGGCACGAATCTTGTACGACTTGCATAACAGGAGACTTCATGTGTTTTAACTGTGAGGAGAAGCAATGGATTCAATGGAATAAAAATGAGTTCTAAAACATACTTTTCATATTTCTTTTTTTTATGTATTTGTGTTGCATTTATTTTAGTAATAAAGTTTGATTTTTGGAATGTCTTAATATTTTTGTACACTTCAGTAATGTGCGTACTCTTAAACATACTCTTATGCAAATTTGTGTATAAGACTACGCATTAGCAGCTTCGCAAATAAAATTAAATATTTCTTATTTGAATACAAACATGGTTTAAAACTATTCTAAAACATCTTTTTAAATGAATTGATATAAGGTTGAATGCTCGAATAAATGAACTTTGATAAAATGAAAGGCAGATATCGAGCACAATTTTATTAATTCAATCTTGCCCAAGTACTTTCGCTTTCTAAAGCATCATCAGGGGCATTTCGTCAATTTTGGTTTATCCAACAAGCGCAGAATGTAATAAACATAACATTAAACATAAACTTGTACAAACACTACACTAAACAAGGACAAACAGTTTAAAATTATTTACAATTAGTCGAAGCTACATTCTTGTCGGCAACAGGAGAGAGAATGACTCTCTCCTGTTGCCGACAAGAATTTTAAATAATTTTAAACTGTTTTCCTTGTTTAGTGTAGTGTTTTTGAAATTTGCTCTATGTACACCCCCCCCCCTCCAACATCAAAATCTACCCTATGCTGATATGTGCTTATTGATTTTAAGGGAGTAAACTGCCCCTTTTTTAAAACCAATAAAGATTTCAGGTTAAGAAAATCATCATCATCATCATCATTAATATAGGTATTTTCGTTTTCTTCCTCCTCGAAAGCCCAATTTTACGGCGACGACATAATGCGCCACGTACTTTTGCAATTGCAAAACATTATTTTCAAAAGTTCTTTGGGAGTAGGATTGTTTTGGAGTCTGATAGGTTGCAAAGAATCCTCTACAGTGGTCCATTCCCAATCAGTCAGACCAAAGTTTTTATTTTCAAGCCAAACTTGAACTTGGTAGTAGCATCTTTTGATATGCTCGTTGAGAGCGTCCACCATAAAACGAGGGCTGATAATTTCACCGCAGTGTTTTTATATATACATTATATACATTTACCCATTCTCCAAAATCAAGTTCCTTCGAAATTAAAAAAAAATGTGTTCCGTTTTTAGGCTATATCTCAGTTAATTTTTAAGCTAACAAGTCGATCAGTAGCTCATTTTATTAGGAATTTATGACCTATAAGTATATAAAAGTTTAAAATTCCTACACCCTTTTATTTTTAAAAGCGATTTTAAATGGTGCGCGAGATAGCTGAGACAGTAGGCATCTCAAATCACGACGTATGTCATATCCTGTATGAAATTTTGGTCATGAGAAAGCGGTGCGAGTGATGAGTACTGCGTTTGTGCACTCTAGACAGCAAACGCAACCGATTTGACTATATTTAAGCGTAATCCAAAGGATTTTCTACATCGTTTCAGTACCTTTGAAGAATCATGGTTTCACTGGTACACACCAGAGATCAAGGAACAGTCGAAAACAGTAGATGACACCCAGCGACGTGCTCTGAAGAAGGTGAAGAATGTTCTATCGGCCGAAAAGGTGATGGCCACCATTTTCTGGAATTTACAAGGGGTGATCAACATCTACTACCTGGAGAAGTTCAAAACGGTCATAGGATTCGACTACGCCAAATTATTGGGGCGATTCGACGAAGAATTGCAAAGAAGACCCTATTTGGCGATGAAAAAAGTACTTTTCGACCATGACAATACACCGGCTCATACATCAGTCTTTAATATGGTTAAATTGGTCAAATTTTGCTACGAACTATTGCCCCATCCACCACATTCTCCAGATTTTTCGCACGGTGCCAGTCGCTGCGACATTTTTTGTAAACAAACTTTAACAGGACACTCGTCGGGTAGAAATTTAAAGTCGACTGAGGAAGTCATCGTTCCCACGAAAGCCTACTTTACAGAACTCGAGAAAACGTATTTTTCAAACGGGTTACAGAAGTTGGAGCATCGCTGGGTGAAGTGTATCGAGCTAAAAGGGGGCTATATGAAGAAATAAGTCTTCACTTGTCCAAAATTTTCGTTTTTCTTTTGTATGCTAAGTACTTATCGTACCGCCCTAGTAAGCTACAAAAATTCAATAAAAAAGATCAGAAAAAATGCTAACTTTTTGTGTTTCAGTAATTTTTACGTATATTTCATGGTTTTCAGTTATTTTGATAAAAAAGACGAAATTTTGAAAAATTTCAAGAATTACTTTTTTTCCTTTATAATAAAGTAAATCATTACATAAATTGCTACTTAATTGCAACTAGAGTAATAATATTAATGGTGACATTTTTTTTTTCAAAAAAAATCAATCTTACTTGCATTTTAAGTGTGACGTCCTCTCGTAGGAGTCACTATCCGGGTAGCTTTTGGACAGTCAGAGACAGAGTTCAAAATAAAAATAAAACTTTATTGTCTTCCTTAAATTAAATTGACAAAAATCTTATGTACATATTTACAATTTAGTTTAGTCTTCTCAGTACCTGGCCTATTTATTCAAATTAAGTTTGACCTTGTCGTATGAAATTAGTGTTATCGGCAATCAAGTGTGTTTTCGGAATTTTACGTGAACGATGTGTCGATTTAATAACAGCGGACGATAGGTACAAAGGAAAGAAAGAAACTCAACACGTCCCTCAAGTGATTCGGGTTAATAGGACACTCCTCGACAGTCTCAACACGACTGCTTCGGAGTACGGGTAATGGAGAGCTCAACACGCTCTCCGGCTGGCGGTATGGAACGGAAACAACTTGTGAACTCAACACGTCCACAAGCCGGGGTAGGGGAGAAGAGAACCTTCAGTCAACACCTGACGATTCTGCCTCTATGAGGAAATAATGCGGTTTATATAGCAAAGTTTTGCCCTTTCTACTGTCGATACACTCCTACTTCATGGGTTGGTTCGCGCGCACGCTGGTTTAACGGTGATGGCTTGGACTCATCGTTACATAAGTACGGGATTTTATAATTTTTAAGCCTTTTTAATTATATTTAAACAATATTTCATGAATTTTCTTCGTAAAATTTACAGTTTTCTTGATATTTAATGTCAAATTTAAAAAAATTTTTGTTCGAATACCAATTTTAATTGGTTTTTTTTATAGAATAAAAAATATTTAAGTCATTGATTAAAAACGTGTTTTTTTACGAAATCAAATCCCGAATAAGTCAAAAATCTACATTTAAAAAATCTATAAAACATTTTTTGCTTAAAATGTGTCCCTATATCCATTTGTGGAGTTAGTTGTGATATAAAAAATTTCACCCCCAGGAAAAAAGCTCACATCGGCATAGGGTAGATTTAATTGTTGAAGTATTTCCTAGCTACTGTTAAAATTTCAAGGAAATCGTCTTCTTCGAGGAAATCGGAGGTGAAAATCTTAATAAACTGGACCACAAAGGATATTTAAAAAAACTATTATGGATAGTTGTAAAAAAATCCAACGTTATGAAATAATTTTGGCATTGATCAATGCCAAAATCAATTTGGCTATTAATATGTACTATGGTATGCAGGAAAAATAAATGGATATCAATAAGCTACCTTTAAAAAGTCTTCTGTGAATTGTTCTCCTTTTATTACATCAAGAATCCGTATATCTACATCAACGCCCGCTGCTTTAGCCGCTAAATATGCTCCTCTGGAAGGTATACTAATAGGAAAATAGTATAAGATGGGCTTCATTTTGATTTATGACAATAAAATTGATATTAAATTAAATATTTTTTAGCTTAACGTAACAATTTAAACAAATTAAAACACTTAAAACACCGGAAGGAATTAGCACCCTTCCAGCACACCGCTAACACAGCTGCTGTATAATTCCAATTGTAAATCATATATGTTCAATGTTCTATGTTTTAAATTTTTTCAGCGCAGTTTTTGACCCTGTTGCTGTAAAAAATAGTCCATGCGGTTCACGCCAATAATTATCATAGGCGGAGAGTAATTATTACGAAATAAACGGGTTTAAAGAAGTTAGCCAGCTTTTAATATTATTAAATATTTAATGAAAAATTGAAGACCAGTGAATTTTAAGTGGGTATTAATTTATGATTCTTTCTTTTAAAACTTTATATTATTTTAAACATTATTTTTTCTGCATCCGTCCCGAGAATAAAACTTCCGGTATGATTTATTAAATTGAAAGTAACCATTTTACACAACTCGTACCGAAAGTAGCTACTTTCGGGACTAATTTTTTCACTTTCGAGACGATTTTGGGTAGCTAGGTAACGGTTTTGACAATAACATTATCTAACTTTGTATTTTATTATGACAATGCTTGTCATTTAAGATTCGTGTGTTTTCGCTCAGTGTTTCGTTTTTCAATTCCAAGAAATGAAAATTAGCAGTAAAAGTAAAGCCGAAATTATTCCAGATGAGATAAGGGAAACTACTAATGGCAGCAACCAAGTTATTGTTTCAAAAAATATTAAAAGTACTGACACGTGCAACATTAAATTCAATCCTGCCACTTCTGTTAATATTCCTCAAAATATCAATGTAAATAATTGTTATAATTATGTTATTAATATTCATGAGTAGATTTTTCTAATATTGAATTCACGAGGGTAACTTTAAAGTGTCTCATAAAAGTTATTAAGTAAAATTTATCCATATATTCTTTTTAACATACAAAACGGCTGCAGAAAAAATATTGTACATAACACGATCCAAAAGTAATTTTACTAGACTCCAGGATTCCAGGACTCGCCTACGGTCGCCCTGGAAACTTCCTACTCTTCTCGTAAAATATCACTTTCGGAACTTGTTACGTAAATTACTATTATACCTAATTGATTGTTGATAATTACATTTTACATTGGTTTTGACGCTGCAATTTTCGTTTTCAAAAAAATATTTAAATTTAAGTTATAAGATGAAAATCCAGTAATTTTTTAATTCAAATGTTTTTTTGACAATTGTTTCCGGATTGGAAATCGAAAAGTCAAAACAAATATAGAATGTAATCCAAAGCTTTATACCATGTTTTCTGTATTTTTAAATTATAAAAAATTTTATTTTTTGTTTATTATTTTTATAGATTGTTTGGGAACACTTGAGTTCAGCCACAAATATATCAAGTAGAAAAATCATACCCGAGTTCTGCTATGTTGATTTATCTTAAGAGAATTATTGAAATTAGGACTATAAAAATTCGGTTCTACATTTTCTAAAAAAATTATTTTAAAATACAAACAATTATTACCTATTAAGTATCACAGATATACAAGAGAAACATTTTTAATAAAAGTCCATCTAGATATAACTTTTGACTCATAGGCTATATTTTTACCAAAAACTTCCATTTTATTACTGTTTTCTAGATTTTTTAATATACAAATTTACTGTCCTAATTTTAACATAAATTTCAATTTGGTCACTACTAACTCAGGTAAACTCTTTCCAAAATACAGGTGATATGAAAGTAATCTCTGATTCCCACTCACTGACTAACAATATTCCTAATATATCTTTTGCATCACTTCCATTTATTAAGGACGTCTCTTCCAAATTGACCAGAATTTTTGATCAATACCTACCAAATGTATAAATTGCTTAGAAAAGCACTCTAGTTGTGGGATCTCTGTACAAGTCATTGAAAGATAAAGTATCAAATTTAGATAAAAGTGATGTTGTCTACAAACTTAATTGTTTAGGCTGTGAAGGTTCTTATATAGGTCACACGTCTCAAAAAGTTTCCAGCCATTTGACTCTTCACAAGAGTGACATTAGGTTACACTCTGATAGATGTTCCCTAGCCACACATGCTAATACAACAGGGCACTCTTTCGATTTTCCAAATGTAAAAATCCTATCCACGGAGAGCAATTATTCAAAAAGATTGTTTCTCGAGATGGCTTTCATTTTTCAAGAAAAAGAAACCATTAACAAAAAGACAGATACCAATAATTTAAGCAACTTATATTCATTATTGTTAACTTTAAATAAACATGAATCTACTAATACAGACAATTCATCGTCAACAATATAAGTTTCATTATATATGAGATATATAATATCTCTCCTACTTCTAAAATAAGTCTTTTTGTCTTTTTTTTTTCAAGCTGTTCAGCTTCTATCAGGTATACTGATATTCTATGAATTCGTTGCTACCAACTTAAAACGACAGAACGTTAGATCTTAAATGATAACGATGTAAAGCTAATAACCTTTACATCGTTATCATTTAAGATCTAACGTTCTGTCGTTTTAAGTTGGTAGCAACGAATTCACAACCAATTCTTTTGTTTCTGATAAGAATATTTATAACCAAAAAATTCATTATTCTTCATTAAATAACATAAGGGTTGCATAATTTTTCTCTTTTTGTTGTCTGTTTTTTTATGACCGTTGATGTAACTTTCCATTGCACTCTGTGCTCATTGTCCCAGGTATATTTGCATATTTGGAATCGAAGTCATCCCTTATGTGCCTCTCGCATAGGCACATGTAAGATGTTAGGCTAATTGGTCGGAAAGCCTTTGGTAGGATGTAGTCCATCCTACCTGGTTTTGATATGAAGACCGCACGTACCTCTCTCCACTTCCTAGGAATACATCTTAGAGCCAAAACGGCTCTGAATATTTCAACGAGGTGCGGCAGAAGGATATCCAGACCCCATCGTAGTAGGGCTGGATATATGCCGTCAGGCCTTCATGATTTGAAAGGGGTGAAGCATAATATGGCCCATTTTACCTTTTACTCATTAATCATTGTTCTGGCGAGATGCAATTCGTTTATTTAGGGTATGATTTCTTCTTCCATCCAGTTTGGTGCTGTTGAGACACTAGAACCGGTAAAGTGTGTTTTCATCAGGACTTCAGCACTTTCGCAAAGGTTGGAAGTTTTGTTTCCATCTTCCTTCGCTAATATGCCGATGTGGGTCCTTTGAGAGCGCTTATTGTAGCCTGGAAGCCTGCGGGAAATGTTCGATTTCCTCACAAAAGGTTTTCCAAGCAGCTCTTTGTCTTTGTCTGCAGAGTTTTTTAAACTCTCTGAGATTTGATTGATAAGGATTCCCAATCTTTTTTGTGTTTGGTGCGTTTTGCTCTATTAAAAGCTGTTCTTGTTATCTTCCTAAGGTGTTCCAATTCAGTGCACCACCAAGAGTTGGTTTTGTGACTTTCCTGGACCATCCTTATTGGACAGGATTTTTTATAAGCATAGCTTATTATGTTTTGGATACATACCGTCTACCTTTCCAATTCTGTATTAGTTCCTGGAGTTGAAGCCTTTTCATTCCGCAGAGCATCTTCTAAGAGTCAGTTGTAGAGTTCTACATGCGTTCTCCTAGGGCCCTTTATTGGCCTAGGCGTATGGTCTAAGCGATCTGGAATCTGGAATCAGGAAACGAGGGATACAATGGACGTCCATTGTATCCCTCTTGTGCCGGAGTGTAGTTTAGAGATAATATTATAGTCTATTTCTATGTTAAAAAGAAACGGAGGAAGCACGTATCCCTGTCTGACTCCAGTAAGTATGTCAAATTCGTCGATGTTGATTCCATTGTGTGTCACGCTGCATTTCATCTCAGTGTACAGTGACTTTATAATAGAAATTATATTATGCGTGATGTTTCTTAGCTCTAAAATTTTCCATAAAGCATAAACCATGTATTGGGATGTGTTTCATTCAAACAATTGTTCCATTATTACCCTCACAGTATTATTGTGATCTATGCAGAAAGATTCTGGTCTAAAGCCTGCTTGACCAGCTCGCTTGCATTATGGTGCAAAAACTATTTCCAATATAAGGAGCGGAAGGTACAACATGCTCAGATAAAATATCAGTTATGTATCTTTCACTGCTCCACATTAAATAAAGTCGTTCTACGTATGTTGCACTGGGTATAAAGCTCATTTGGCCGTCGGATTACTTTTAAATGTCAATCAGAACTATAGAGGCAAAATCTGGATTCATCTGTAAACAGAACGTTTTCCCAGTCATCATTATTCCAGTTTACGTGTGCTCTGGCAAATTGAAATCTAGCTCTGCGGTGGTTTGCAGTTAATGCTGGGCCTCTAGCTAGTCTTCGAATGCGCAAGTCGTGTTCTAGAAGTCGTCTCCGTATGGTATGAATGCTGGATTGGATATTACGAACCTCATTAAGTTCCATTAAAAGATTTCTTGACGTGGTAAATTAATCTCTTAACGGGCATAACCTAATAAAACGGTCTTGAACGACCGTAGTAACTCGAGGTTTATCTTGTCGAGAACGTCTGCTGTGATCGTGCATTTCTCTAAAGCTTTGAACAATACGGGAAATTGATGTATGCGAAACCCCCAACCTCCGACCGATACCATGGTAGCTAAGTCCTTCGCTATGTAAAGTCACTGCTTGAACACACTCATCACGGATCAAATTTCTTTCTATGTTCACTAAACAATAAAAAATCCGGATTTAATTGAAACTTTAAATAATAAATCTACTAATTTTCACGTCAAAGTAAACACTTTTAACTGTTAACAATTTGACGTGTATCAAATTTTTAATTTTTCATAGCCTACTTTAGGCTTGATTATTAAATTAAGTAGAAAATGAAGATTTTTTAAATAAAAAACATGGCTAGTTGTTAAAGGACCTAACTTTTTTACTATCCAACGTAAGCAAATGAATCAAAAATCAAAATGTTAAGAAAACCTAAGCCTATAATTGGGTTTTAATTTTATTACATATT